TGTACGCGCTCGAATTGTATACTTTAACCAGCTGCCAAGTGTCGCTGCTTAGCGAGCATATTTCCTCGCAGTAAAATTCGTTTATGTGCCCAACCTCAGGCGCGCTGCTAGTGCCCAAAACGCTTAGCGCCTTCGCTAGGTAGAATTCACGCAGTGATAGTAAGCGAATTTCGTACTCCTTTGGCTGTAACTCTGTAGCCAAGTCTTCCCTCGAATTCACGACTTTTTGCAAAGCTTCCACTTCAGTTTGCAGAGTGACTAAATCCTCAAGCGACCAATTTACATTTTCCAAAGCATTATTTGAAAACTCCAATAATGCCGTATGAAGCGTTTCCGGGATTTTAGCGTTTTGTGTTTGCTCTATTTGGATTTGCTTGACATCGGTGTTGATGCGCTGTTCTATATAAGTATTGACAATGGCGCGAGCGCGTTTAGCATTATCGGATTTCTGCGCAAAGAATTTCTTTAGTACGATTTCCGGCGCATTACTACCGTAAGATGGCACTACAGTGAGTAGCTGATCCAGCTGCCGCACCAATTTGTAAAACTGAATCTGCGAGGGGAAGAATGAAATTATTCAGCTAACAAGAAAAATTAAATAAATAAAAGATAGAGTAAAACCGGTATATTAAGGTATCCGGGTTTCAAGTAAGAACGATCACTGAAGAGACCGAAGAAGACCCGCGCCAGCGTTGACGTTTAGGGACATGCGCCTTGGAATACGCGGACCATCTAAAGGGAAGTTAATAATAATAATATTTTGGCGCTTAAACTTTTGCTTAGTGCTCGGCCGAGCTTCTCCTCCAATTTGTGGTGTACGTCTTGATGTTATAACACGAATAGAGGGATCTACGAGGTTTACGCCGCCTCCGAACGGCAAATATTTTTATCAGAAGCGTTTTTAAGGCAGAAATACACTCGGAGGTTTGCCATTTCCTACCAAGGGGCGACCGTTGTTAGAATTTTTTTTATAATTTTATGCTACCAAATGGTTTCAAGAAAGGCGCTGGAAGATGTGAATCTAGTAACAGGCGTCCAGAGTGAGTTGGCGTCACAGGTAGTTGGTGTACGCTATAAATTGCTCGGTAATGGCTGCCGTCAAAGTAATTGATGAGCTGTGCTCAAAGGTAATTGGCTACCTGNTTTTTTGTTTGTTTTATGCTCATTGCACTTGGAAGTAGGCATTTACTTTGTCTTTCTGTTTTGTTTGGGGTTTTTGTATAANCCGTCAAAGTAATTGATGAGCTGTGCTCAAAGGTAATTGGCTACCTGCCCAAACTGTCTCGCTTCTTCACTGCCAGGAACTAATCCTCTCCAACAGCAAAAAAAAAAACCACCCAGCAACCTTCGACGGCCTGCTATCTCTAAAAGAAACGTTGTTGGCAATAAAGAAGGCAATTCGCCAGCCGGGTCGAACTTATGCAGCGCTGGTTTTTTCGACGCGGGNTGATCACCCTGGCCTGTGGGAGTTTCCGGCCATCTAACACTCTCTACAATTAAAAAAAAAAAAAAAATCGCGTATAAGTTTACAAGCGAGCATGTAACGATAAAACAATCGACCAATAAAGAAGTAGTGACTTGTTCATCCATTTGGAGCAATAAGCGTGCAATCAAGGATTTTTGTTAGTTATCCAAATATTGTATGGAGTCCTCGTTTATCGATACGTTTTGAGTAAAAAGGGTGCTCGCCTGTAAGGACATGCAAGCTTTATAAGCAGTATAACTTATAAGAGGCGCAGATTTGTGTAGTATTCCATTGCTCACAAAGGAACGATCTAAGAATAATCTTTGGATGATCCTATTTTTAAGTGGAGAATTAGGCATACTAACGCATTTCAACTTTTAGCTCACGCTTGTTTGTGGTAGCGCCCGCCTCTGTTCATAATGAACCAGATAAATGATGAATGATGAAATAATGAAGAGAGTACGTTGAGCTACGCTAACAGGTATGCATATCTGCACTGATCTAGGTGCCGGGGCACGACAGCATTAATTGTAACGAAATACTGGCTTGGATATCTCAAAAGTAGAAGAGCTTTTGCCAAAATATGGCTAACTGGTGTTGGAAAGGCATACAATCCCGAGGTCTATGTAAGAGTTTATGGCTCTGCTGAGGCGGAAAACTGTTATTAAGTTTTCATGAAACTGGACAGATGAATTTGTGTCGACCAACTGCCTTATGGACAATGAACGCTGCGCCCTGATGAAAGANCATACTAACGCATTTTAACTTTTAGCTCACGCTTGTTTGTGGTAGCGCCCGCCTCTGTTCATAATGAACCAGATAAATGATGAATGATGAAATAATGAAGAGAGTACGTTGATCTAGGTGCCGGGGCACGACAGCATTAATTGTAACGAAATACTGGCTTGGATATCTCAAAGGTAGAAGAGCTTTTGCCAAAATGTGGCTAACTGGTGTTGGAAAGGCATACAATCCTGAGGTCTATGTAAGAGTTTATGGCTCTGCTGCGGCGGAAAACTGTTATTAAGTTCTCATGAAACTGGACAGAATGGATTTGTGTCGACCAACTGCCTTATGGACAAAGAACGCTGCGTTCTGATGGAAGGCTTGGATTGGGGCGAAAGGACAGACAGACAGACAGGAGGACATGGCTCAATCGATTTCGCTCGTCATTCTGAGCATTTTATTGTATAATTTACCTATCTCTATGAAGGTTCGTTTAAACTGTTATAAACAGCCGTTATGTGAGCATAGTTATAATATATACCCTTGTACACAAGTGCGCTCGGGTATAATAAAAAATCTCGCCGTTCACCCTTACCTGTTCCTCCTGATAGAAAGGCGCGAAATGTATTAGATTTTTATTGTAGACTTTGCGCATCAAATTGAGCGGCAGTTTTATGCTCAGCACATAATTGTTGATTTTCTGCAGACTGTTGTTGAACTCAGCATTCAATTGGCAATAATTAGGCAGCATTGTAGTCAGTAACTGAAGCAAATTTTTCTCTAGCCATTTGAAATGCAGAACTAGCTTATCCATTAGATTCCTATTCAGCACTTTGTTCACCACCAACTTTTGCTGAGACATGGCCAATAAGCGATTTGGCCACAAATAAGCCGTAATTATAGCCGAAAATGTGTGCACGTCAATGTGCGCGTAATCCAGTGTCGCGCTCAGCACTTCACGCATGCGCGCAAGGAGCGTAGAGAGATTCTGCAGCAGCACGTTGTCGTAACGATCTAGCGCTTTATTTGCTGCCACGGTCAGTGAGTAGGTGAACGCGTCCATGTCATTGATGTTGCTTACCATACGCTCCGGCATGGGCTGCAGCAACAAGTGCGCGACGAGTTGTGCGCTCAGGCAAAAGCTCTTGTGATTTTTTGCATCTGCCGGTTGCGTAGCATAGGCGCGTATGCGCGAAAATAGCTTATTATTCCATGGTAGTGGATGCATTGACGAGTCGAATTGCGCGCTGATGTGTTTAATACAGGCAAAGAGGGACTTTGACAACTGTCGCAGTGATGGCGCCGAACTCAGCAGCTTGTCTATGTAGAGATAACGCAATTCAGCGTCGCCAATCGTGCTTGATTCGTACAGCATATAAATGCAATATTTTATAATTTCTTGTGTGTCTACTCTCGAAAAGTCTACGCTCGCAAAATCGGCAAAGACTTCTGTTAGTGCGGATTGCGCGCGTTCGCCAAAACAAAGCAGGCTGCTGAGTGGCTCAGCTTGTAATTTGATTAACGAGAGCGCATCTAGCTCATCGCTGTGCAGCAAAATAGGGGCCAAACGATTATCATCTTCATGCTGTGGCGATGCGCCTGCACGGAATTTTCGGCATTCATCCAAGACAATTTCACGCAACTGATTCTGGTAATAAGCCAGTCCGAAGCCCATTAGGTCAGTGATTGCAGCGTATACATACACTTCCATGCCGCTTACATAGATGGCGCGTTCCGTATCGTAGCCGATGCGCGCATATGATGCAGTCAGAAAGGCGAATTGTGTCAGATGTGAGATGTTGAAGCTGTTGATTTCCGTCGAATGCAAAAAGCGCGTGTGTACGTTTAGGATACTATTAATCGCACGCATGCCACGCACACCATTCAAGTAGACAATGAGACGCATGTCATCGACGCAGTAGGTGTCTTTGGCGATTGCCAACTCCACACAACGGTTGCGCATGGCACGCGACAGTTCGCCATTTTTGGGGTCGATGGTTAGAAAAGCGCGGAAGTTTGGCGCCTTTTCGACAATTTCCGCGCTCTCATTTGCCGATACACCTTTCTCTGATATTAGCAGATTGCCATTAGGTTCGAAAACGGGATTTAGACGATCCAAAACGGCTGAAGAGCACAAGTTCACATGCTCCAAGAGAATGTATTGTCCGAATTTGAGTGATTTAACAATTTTGGAATCGACCCACTCGAAAGAGCCGCCAGTATTTAGCGAATCAGCATTGCGTACGTGATTTTCCAGCGTATTAAGCCGACTTTGTTGTTGGACTAAAGTGTCTTTGGAGTATGAAGTTGCGGACTGATCGCTTGTGGATTGCAATAGTTTGTCGATTACGACACCTAAACGTTGTATACGCTTGCGGAAACTCATCAGCTCGTCCGACATGGATGTGGCATTGGTAGTAGCTATTTGGAAAGGATGTAGAAGAGAGTTCAAGATCACATAATTTAATTTTTATTGCAATATACAAACCGAGTTTCACATTGGATTCCCTGCAGTAATCGCCCCAAATCTGCAGCAGCTCGGCCACACTTTTATAAGCTTTTGATTTCTCTTCCAGTAGCATGAAACGTAGGTGGGCAGCGAGCACGGATTCAATGTTTTGCGATGTTTCTTCTAAGTGCCGGTTTAGATCGATCTAGAAGAGGAAGAAAAGTAGTAAATAATTTTATTAGAAAGATAGGTCGATAGGAAGTTAAGTTTCCCAATGGACTCGAAGACTAGCGAAGAAGTGGATTCGAAAGATGAACCCCCTTGAGTGCCGAGTGGCGCTCACTGAGAATGACAGTTTTCTTAAAGGTTTTTCTTTTACGGTAGAAATACACTCGGAGGTTTGCCATTGCCTGCCGGTGGGTAACCGCTCTTTGAAAAAACTTTTTTATGTTTAATTTTTTTTTAAGTTGTCCTAGAGTCCAGTCCTAGGGTTTAGGCATCCGGAAAGTGAGAGCGAAGCAGAAAGCTGAAGTGCTATTTTAGTTTCTCCAGTTCCACCTACAAAGGATTTGTGATGCCTGGACGCTGCAGGAAGCTTCTAATACTCTCACATTCCTCAAATCTTTACTATATTGAGTAAGAATGGCTGAGTTTTTTTCCGAGTGCTCCGTGCGCTTAGCCTTATTGAAAGAGTTAGGAGGTACCTCCTTCTTCGGAGATGAGAGTTCTCGAGACCATCAAAGAACGGCTAATGGCCTAATACCATTTAGCCTATTATGTTGAGGTTCTAACTTCATACAATGGAGAAACTACTATTTCAGTGGAGAAACTACTAATGCTGTGCCCAAAAAACTCGATAACTCTGTGAACCGCTGCGTTCCGATGAAATCGTACGTTTTGAGTGTAAGTCGTTATACAGTATATTTTTGAAGACTACGTCTAGAATTTTTAAGTCAACTCTACCTAAAACAATATACAAAGACTAGAACTCAAGCGATGCTTACCTGCTGAAAACTGCCTGTCACAGAGTCATCGATGGTGTCCGTATTGCAAACTTGATTCGATAACGTGCACAAAAGGTCAATCAGCTTAGTCTTGCCCGTATCGGTTGGCCCGCAGAGCAGCACCGGCTTCTCCATACGCATGCACTCCACGACATTCTTCAGCATCTCACGCTGCGAAGCCAGCAAAATCGGGCACAGATCCTTGCTTCGAAGTGGTCGCAGTGCTTGCGCATGTCCATCGCGTTCCAGCACAATATCGTTCAAATAAATTTTATCAGCAGTCCAATAGAGTGACACATCTTCGGAGATGGCGTTCAACTGATCCGCATCACAGTCAAATACCTTGGAGAATGCATTGCGTATGAAACGTTTATCTTCTTCACAGCGCATGCGCTGATAGTAAACCAATTTCATGCGCTCAAAAAGGGTGAGCAAAAAGATTTCGAAATTTCTACGAAACAACCCCAAACGGGTTGTGGCTGCTGAGCAATTATCGGTTTGGAAAATGAAACCAGTTTCGGGATTTACTAGCAAGTCACACCAGCGTAAGATGTCACGCAAGTTTATTTCGTACGGTCCACCCCTATAGCCGAACTCCAGTGCCGCTATGCCGTTGTCCAGTATTTCGGAGAACTGTACCAGTCGCTTGGATACATCTAGTACAATTGCGGGCACAACGCTTGCTTCATTGTTGGTAAACTCGATGCTTGCCGGTTCTCTAGACGATTTCTTGTAAAATTCGAATAGATTTGTACCTGTCTCGATGCTACAGTTGGTAAGCAATTTGGCAAACTGGGCGCACATTTCTCTGAAATGCGATTCGTATTTGCCGTTTACAACAAACAGCAAGTCCTGTGTGGTCAATTTGCGCAGATAGACCTTGTTAAAACGATTCAAGAATGATTGCGGTAAGCCCTTGCGGCCGCCGCCTTGTTTAAGCGGATTCTGGCAGGCAAAAACGCGCGTCTCCTTGCTCAGGGTGAATGTCTTATTCAATTCAGGTATGTAAACCTCGCCACGATGATCGAGTATAGCGTTGAGGCCCTCCAGCACTGACTGTGGTGCCAAGTTCAGCTCATCCAACAATATCCAGGTGTCGTCCGCTTTTAGTGCGGCCAATAATGGGCCATCACGCCACACAAAGGAGCCGATAAATCCTGCCTGCTCGCTTGTGACCTTTTCAGCAGCAGTGTCTAAAATGTTATCTTCAGCCGGCAGATCGGTGCCAAAGAGATCAGCCAGATCGGTGTGCTCGCAGAGATTTATGCGCACGATGCGATAGCCAATAGCAGCGGCAATGCTCTCGACGGTGGATGTTTTACCGACACCCGGTGGGCCTTCGAGGAGTATGGGTTTGCGCAGTGAGAGCGCGGACAGCAGACGAAATAGATTTTGTTTAGTTGTTGGCGCTTCGAATAAGAAACTTTTGCTTACGGCAGCGCTGGAATTGCTGTTGGTTGGTATAAAAAAGGGCATGATGCCGAATTTTTCAGCGGTGTGTATCACATCCTTGCCACGCTTTTCTTCCAAATCCGCGAAGGTGAACTTTTCGCTCAGAATACTAGCAGCTTTTTCGATGGCAAATTTGATTATCTGCTTCTTAAGCACCTCAACCTTTTCCAAAGTCTCATGGGGCAACATTTCCAAGGCATCCAAGAATATTGTCTCTAAACCGAATATTGCGCGCTCCGGAAATGTCAAGCTTGCATTGCTGACAATGTAGTTGGCCCACGCCAGTATATCACGTATAGAATATTTGAACTTCTCCACCAGATCTTGCATGTGCAGCACCACTTCCACGAGATAACTGGCGATTTTCGTTATGTCTTCTCTGCTTGCACTTGCTGCNTATGGGTTTGCGCAGTGAGAGCGCGGATAGCAGACGAAATAGATTTTGTTTAGTTGTTGGCGCTTCGAATAAGAAACTTTTGCTTACGGCAGCGCTGGAATTGCTGTTGGTTGGTATAAAAAAGGGCATGATGCCGAATTTTTCAGCGGTGTGTATCACATCCTTGCCACGCTTTTCTTCCAAATCCGCGAAGGTGAACTTTTCGCTCAGAATACTAGCAGCTTTTTCGATGGCAAATTTGATTATCTGCTTCTTAAGCACCTCAACCTTTTCCATAGTCTCATGGGGCAACATTTCCAAGGCATCCAAGAATATTGTCTCTAAACCGAATATTGCGCGCTCCGGAAATGTCAAGTTTGCATTGCTGACAATGTAGTTGGCCCACGCCAGTATATCACGTATAGAATATTTGAACTTCTCCACCAGATCGCGCATGTGCAGCACCACTTCCACGAGATAACTGGCTATTTTCGTTATGTTTTCTCTGCTTGCACTTGCTGATGCTTGCAAGTTTTCCAGCATACAGTTGCTGGCAATTTGTACTAAATCTTCTTTCGTATCAGATGGTAGACACCAGATTTCAGTAAAACGGTTGCGCAGCGCTGGCGAAAGCTCCTTCTTACCGAAATCACCACCTGGATTCATAGTGGCCAGAAACTGGAAGCCTTCCTTCGCTTGCACAACAAAATCCTTGGCGATATCCGCTGCGTTGTCGGCGTCACTGACGCCTCCCTTCTCTGCTAACAACACAGTGCGCTCCGGTTCTAAAACACAATTCAGCCGCTCTAGCACTGAGTCCTCAGCCAAAGAGATTTCATCAGCCATGAAGTAGGAGCCTTCCTGCATAGCAAGTATAAGCGGTCCATCAGCCCACTCGAATAATTTTTTTGCAGTGTTTTCATCAGCGCTCGCATCGCGACAGGGCCTTAAGCCGCCTAAGAAATCTGCGCCTTCTGTGTGCATATGACAATTGAGTATGCGCAGTTGCACGCCACGTATGCTGGCTAGCAGCTGGCAAACAGTGGTCTTTCCGCAGCCAGTGGGACCGACAAGCAAAACAGGTTCATCGAATTCCAAGGCTTTGGCGGTCAGCACAGCCATGCGCGTCATATTGCGTGTCCAAACAATGTCGGCGCGCAGCTTGTACGTTTTGATGGCAGCAATAATGTTGCGCGTCACCGCCGAGCACGCTTCCTCGCTAGCCTGGGCATTGAAAAGTGTCGATAGATCAACGCGTTTGCGAAAGTTCTTGTACAAGGTCTCCTCGATAATTTCGATTTCAATGTCTGTACGTACTTTTGCGGACAAAACCAAGTAACCCTCTTCGATAAGGTGTTGATTCCAATCGTACTTTGAGTCCTCTAACAGTCGCTTGTCCGCGTAAGTGTAACGATTACCCCAGCGGAATAGATCGCGCAAGGTGAATACATTTTTAGTGGTGGTCTTACGATTCTTCTGCAGGTCGGACATGCACATCACCATCTTTTTGGCATATGTTGTTGGTATTAGGCAACGTTTTTCCAAAATAATTTCCAGCTCGTCGCGTGGTATTTCTGAGAAATGCAATTCGATGAAGCGATTCTTGAATGCGCGCGACAGTGTTTTTCGGCCACCATACAAACCAGGCGGATTTTGGGTGGCAAATAGCATGAAATTTGGATGCGCCTTTACCAGGGTCTGCGTTTCAGGTATGAAGAGTTCACGATTGTCGTCGAGGACGCGATTCAAAGCCTCCAAGATGTCGGTGGATGCCAAGTTCAATTCGTCCAATATAATCCAGTAACCGTTGCGCATAGCCTGCACCAAGACGCCTTCCTTAAAGCTCAACTTACCAGTTACATCGGCTACATAAGTGCCAATATATTCTTGCAGATCCGTGTGTTCGTGGTTGTTAATGCGTAGGCAATGGTTGCCGCTGCATCGCGCTACATAGTCAATCAAACTTGTCTTGCCAGCGCTTGTGGGACCCTGCAACAACACCGGCAGCTTGCCAATCGAGATGATGCGCGCCAAGTCACGTAGGTTTTCTTTTACGCTTTTAGTCAAAATGTAACTGGCATACTCCTCGGGTTCTTTGGGGCCTTGTTGTATCCAGTAGCCTTCGAAATTTAAGTAATTTTCACCTGGTTTGGGTATGCTTTGGTTAAGCACAGCTTTGACGTTGCTTAAAAGCGCTTGCTGTATGAGATGTAAGACCACGTTGTGTGAAGCGGGATCTAGTTGCGTAAGGAAGCTCATGCAAAAGCTCTCGTAGAGATTGCGTTCCACTGAACCGCACAAATTCTTGGCACAGACGCGCAGCGAACGACACAAAGTACGCAATGAAAATACCGGACGATTGCCGAGACCATCATTCAGTTCTAACTTGGACAATAGCTTAAGCTTTTTGTACAATTGCACCAAGTTTGTGACACTCTTCCGCTGTATGCCCGTGGTTTTCAGGTAATCACTTATAAGCACCGTTAGATCATTGTCAGTGGTTAGCTCATCAACGAAGAATTCTGTGAAGCGATTGCGTATGCCAACCGGCAGATCCTTCTTACCTATATCTGTATTGGGATTCATACAAGCGAATATACGAAAGTCAGGGTGGCGCTTAACCGGTGTAAAATCGCCTCTTTCAAGTAACACCACCGATCCATCGGGCTCCAAAATTGTCGACAAGCATTCGAGCATCTCCGCTGAAGCCAAATTAATTTCGTCCAACAATATCCAGTCGCCATTTTTAATGCAGTTTACTAGTGAACCTGGTATGAAAGCAAATGAAATGTTGATTGACTTGCTCAATTGGGTGTTCAACTTGAGCACGCAAACTTTTAGCGCCTGCCAACGTGGTAATAAGGCCATTTCCTTTTCCTTCAACTCATTTCGTTCTGCCTTGCTGAAAACTGAGTTGATCACACTAACCATCAGTTTAACAATAACCGAGAAGTTGCCTTGATTATAGCAAATTTCCATTTTGTGCAGGAATGTCTGATTTTTCGCAGCATTAAAGGTGCCGTGGAAGAGTGTGTCGAACTCTAGCCGCAGTGGGATCAGTACATATGTCAAATCGACTGGTTTAAATCCACCAATGAGATCTGAAACGTCTGACTGATTGTTCATATTGACAACAACCATTTTGTGGCATGTTCTGTCGGCCAAATACTGTACCGATGAGGTTTTGCCGACCCCAGTTTCACCAACAAGCAGCACTGGTTCAGCGTGCGACACGCACACGGCTATGCGCTCTAGAATACAAGATGCCATTCTCGTAAAAGAAAAAGTTGCATGCGTTGAAACATTCAGCGCGCGTTTTAACGCTGCAATTTCACTATCAAGCCTATTAAGATTATCGTTTAGTTTTGGTCGCTTAACAGCCTGTGGTCCTTCGCTCTCAGCATCCTCTTCCACATTATCCAATTCAATGCTGAATTCATCTACCAGTGATTTAGCAAATAATTCGGTGCGACCAACTTTTATGCCGTTTTTGTTAACTAACACGTCAGGTTTATACTCGTTTGCAAAGTATTCGCAACGCGATTGAATGATTCCTAATTTCGCACCGATGCTTATAATGAGTTTGGTTTTATCTTTGCCTTGCGGTAGATACGAGCAAAAAACATCAACAGCATTTTGAAAGACAAAGTATGCGCATTCGGAGCTAGTTACGCTAAAAGCTGGATTGGAACGCTGACAAAGTTTTATAAGATCGCGTGTAGAAACTAATCGGCCGGAGTTCGGGATCGATGAGAGTGAAATCTTTTCAAATGGCAATGCGATATATTTTTCAGTGGTATCGGCCTTGTCAGCAAACTCTTGTTGACGCAAATTATCAGCCGCAGTGTGATCTCCGCTGGAGAATGTAAGAAATACATCCACTATACGATTAGCAACCGTGGCTAATTTGGGGTAATTCGTGCTAACCACCTTGCAGAGCTCATTGCGTGAAAGTGGCAAAATATTAACTGTATATAAGTATTTTTCAAGCAGTGTATATAGTGATTTCTGGGCGGTGCCCGTTGACGATTTGTTGGTGCTAAAATAAATGGAATCATTAGCGGTGAAAACCATATATGTACAAGTTTGTAAAAAATTGCTTACCGTACAGTTACAAATAGCTGGAACCCAGGCTCAATTTTTACACAATCGCGAAATCCTGGCACACTCAAGTAGTTGTTTTCCAGCAGGCTACTCAAGATTGTATAGGTATCTTGTGTGGCCGAATCCAAATCTTCCAAAAGAAGCCAATAGCCATTCATGACAGCCTAAAATAGCCGCAAACCAAGGTTTTAGATACATTTTTAATATAGGAAAAATAGAAATCAAAGCTCTAAGGCTACTGACCTGCGTCAGCACACCTGGCAGCCAAATGAATTCGCCAGGAACATCCGTACAGCGATATTGCCCCAAAAGCATTTTGCTATCAGTTTGATCGCCTAGTTGAATACGCAAGAAACCATTACAGCTGACACCATCTGAATCTATAGTTTCACCAAATTTATTAAAAATATCCGGGCCATGTTTTCTTTTGCTTCCAGTTGATAATTTATCGTTTCCATTTACAACATCTTTGCCGTTTAAAACGTGATTTTCTTGGCTTCTTTGCTCTACTTCACTAGGCTTTGGTTGAATACGGCCTGTCTTACGCGCCAAAAATTCCACCAATGTAGTTTTACCGCAGCCAACTGGTCCTGAAAGGCATATTGCTTTTGCCGAAGCTATGCCCAAAGCAATGCTACGCAAATTTACTTTTGTAGAATCGACTTTAACTATTGTATCGTATAATCCGTCGTTATTCGCATAAAACTGATAGTTATTCTTATTAAAAATAGGCAACAGCACACCTTCAATATCGGTGATCAGGTTTGAATTTATCTTCAAAGTAATTATTTTATCTTTTTCAAAGTCTTCAGAGAAAATGTTTTTGTATGAAGGACGTATATTTTGCTCTTCATCAAATTGCAACAACACCGCAGGCGGCAATTGGGCACTAATATTTTGCAATTGCGTGGCCGTCATATTTGTAATTACAGCAATAATGTGGTTGCAATAGAGTTGATGTAAGTCATCTTCTTTTCCACAATCAACATATTGCTCGAGAAATACGGACCAATTCCACAAATCTTTGAAAAATACTGGATTGGCGCACAATAGGTGATAACAGCATTTTACGATGTCAAGGGAGGTTATAGCAGTTATATGCTTAGAACGTTTGCTGGCCAAAGAGCCTTCGGCCAAAGTAGGGCATTGAAACGGTGCCGGTTTGTCACGAAAATAGCTGATAGCATAACTGCAAAAGAAACATAGTTTAAAGATCTTAAATTTGTCGATAAAACGTAGTTGAAGCTTTACCGTTTTGCATCAACAGATAAGCGCATCATGATGGCCAGGGCAATACATTTTTTCTGATAGGTTTCAAAGTCACTTTGGTCAACATGCTCATCGTATGGAATACTGCGTGTAATTAATAGCAACAAGACATATTCAAAAGACGTAGCTATGGCCGTGGTCCATCTTTCTTCTATGATATGGTCACTCAAGTAGGTGAAAAGTGCTTCAACCTCTTTTTCATTGGGGTCCTATTGGAAATGTGTTAAAAAAAAAACATTAAAATGTTTGTAAACAAAGCTGTTTTTTGTTTGTTTACCTTTGACTTTAGGAACTTTAGCAACACCCTGTCTTCATCAGCTGTTTGCGACGCCGACCGCAGATGCTCGCGCAACTGCACGACGGAGCGCCGTATTTTGTTTACACTCAATTCCATGAAAAACGATGTGAACTTCAAGAAATTCACTGGAATTTTTGTTGGATTTGTTATCTAGATCACTCTTGCACAGTTTGATCGTAAATTGATCCACTAATTTCACGTAAAATATCACAAAATGAAGAACACACCAAAATGCAAACTAATCGAAGCAAAGCCAAAGGAAAAATGCTGCTTTTCAAACACGTGTAGTGCAGTGGTGCCGCTTTTCCAAGAGGCCGATTTGGTTGTCACTTTCTGATAACAAAATGTCCGGTAACACTGAAATTGTGCATCTGTCATTTTCATGAGGTAAACATTTTTCTATGTGCAAATTCAATGGAGGTTTTTTGATTTCTACTTTATTGAAAATTTAAGTATTTTCATGTAATATCTTTCACGTTCAGTGGGAATTAAAATAAAAACATGGCGGACGTGCGTGATATCCTGGATATGGAGCGGGCGAACACGCCTGAAGTAACGCGAGAATCGTTCCTGGTACAAAAGAGAAGAAACTTTGAAAAGTGTGTTTTAGATTTTCTATATCTTCTGCTATTAAATTTTACTGAGTATACGTTGAAAATTTTAGGGCCAAAGGTGTGTCCAAACGCCCAGAGGGTATGCACCGCGAAGTTTTCGCTTTGCTCTATAACGACAACAAGGATGCTCCACCGCTGCTACCAACTGATACAGGTAAATGTGCTTATTGGTTTTTCCACTGCTATACAAAATGTATTTAATTTAATGTATTTGCAGCTCTTGGCATTGGTTCAGGTTATAAACAAGCGAAAGCACGTTTGGGTATGAAAAAAGTGCGCAAGTGGGAATGGGCACCTTTCAATAATCCAGCGCGCACAGATGGTGCAGTATTTCACCATTGGCGCCGTACCACTGATGATCAAAAAGAATATCCATTTGCTAAGTTCAATAAGCAGCTACAAGTACCCAGCTACACCATGACTGAGTACAACACGCATTTGCGCACAAATGTGCAAAAGTGGAACAAGGCACAAACAGATCACCTATTCGACTTGGCAAAGCGGTAAGAATCGTAGTTCCGTGTTTTGTTTACATTATCAAAATATTTTCCATTACATCTCCATCTCCATTACAGATTTGATCTGCGATTTATCGTTATGGCAGATCGTTGGGATCGTGCACAACATGGCGTCAAGTCTGTAGAGGATTTGAAAGAACGCTATTATGAAGTACTGGGGCTGCTAGCAAAAGTTAAAGGACAAAATAGTGATAAGAAATCATATGCCTTTGATGCAGAACACGAACGCAAGCGTAAGGAGCAGCTTAAGAAATTATTTGAACGTACCACACAACAAGTCGAAGAAGAGCAAATGCTGTTGAACGAACTCAAGAAGATTGAAGCACGCAAGAAGGAGCGTGAACGTAAGACACAGGATCTTCAAAAGCTCATATCACAGGCGGATCAAGTACGTAACTTTTCCGTTTTTCTTGTATACTCTATAAAAAAATGAGTGTGGAAAAAACAACACTAGTTTATAAATGGTAGATAAAATACCAAAAAAAAAATACAAATTCATTTCAGCAAAGCGATACAACTACTAACGTGCAGAGCACACGCAAATACGAAAAGAAATTGGTCAAGAAAAAATTGCATCATCAGCCACGTCCCTCAAAAGTTGACTCTGTTGTTAACGCTATTGAAATCGGTGGCAGTGGCATAAAATTCTCCGATCTTCGTGGATCCGGCGTTTCCTTGCGCTCACAAAAAATGAAGCTTCCTGCAAATATTGGGCAGCGCAAAGTAAAAGCTTTGGAACAAGCTATACAAGAATTTAAAGTTGGTAAGTGTTGATTGTTTTTATGCAGACAACTTGTTAGCTAATTGCTAGTATCTTCTATTAAAATAATTAACATTTTTTTAGATCCCTCACCACCACCCACCGAAGAAATATGCAATACATTCAATGAATTACGCTCAGATATGGTTTTGCTGTGCGAATTGCGTACTGCTTTGTCCACGTGCGTGTATGAAATGGAGAGCTTAAAACATCAGTATGAGGCAGCATGCCCTGGAAAGGTAGGGAATGATATGTTGAATTAAACAAATTTTTTAATACTTCTTTCTTATTAATCCATAGACACTAAACATTCCGCCGTCGCTGATACCAGCCGAGCCGATCAAACCAGAGGCAATCGAACCTGGCACATCGGGTACCAACACAAGCGGCTAAACAAATTGCATTTTAACCTTGGACAACTGCAAACACAATTTAAAATATGGTGAAATTTCATAAGCTCCCATCAAGTTTTAATTTTATTTTGTACTGTGAGTACTTCCAAGTGTTAATTAAAATTTGGCCGCTAAAAATTTGATGGGACAAAGAATTCTTCATACTTATCTACCCATTATAATATATGTACGTTCATTTATATATGTATGTATAAATATACTATATCTTGTCGCACGCTTAAAATGGTGAGGAGCTTTGGATAAATTCAATACAGAGTTCAAAATGGAGAAAGCCAAATAAACTTGTGTTGACTCTTCTGCCCATTTGCGGCTCCTGCATACTTGTATGGCATTGAGTATTTGGCCTGTATGTTGATAATCTTCCACAGCTAAATTAAGTGCAAGCAAAACCTTCTTCTTTATTTGCTTTCTTTTTAATAACATTCAAGCTGGAGAAGCTCTTCTTGGTGTGTGACGTTGAACCGCTGTCGAAGAAATGGGTCATAAGAGCCTAACACACATTCTTGCCCGCGCTGTGCCCAAATATGGAACGTTTTGTCGGTCAAAGGCGTCATATATGGAGTGATTGTAGCACACATGATGTGAGAATAAGAAAATAATTTACCGCAAAAAAAGAGACATAATAATAAGTGACTATTTTTTATTATACTACAATTAAGTTTGCCTTCAAATGCGCCGCGTAGCATAGCGTAGATGTCTTCTTCGTCAATTGCCTTGGCATCGAAACACGAAATGAATATTCTAAAGAGCGCAGATACTAAATAGCTGTGACTGTTGGAGTAGTTGCTCGCATGTGCTACTTTTGCATCCTACATTTTTCAATGAGTAGTAAGTATTTAAGCTTCTAACTACAGTGGTTTGTTTGAACTTCAGGCAGCAAAGATATGTTGAAGATGGCCAAGCGATATGGTCACCTTGCCGGTATTCTCACTTAACACAGTATACTTATAGTAAAGTGAAGGTATACCTTTATACACATAGGCACATGATATACAATATGTATATATTATGTGTTCGTATGGCATAGTATCTTACTTCGAAAGGCTGGCTTTAGTATAATGCAGCATTCGCAGCATACGATTGCGAATGAGTCACTGGCGTCGAGCCGTTGAAGAACTTTTGGCAAATAAATGTGCAAGAAATAGTTCCAGTACTAGTAAGTCAATATTCTTAATAAGTCTCATCAAAAAATGCCACATTATACTAAAGCCAGCTTCCCGACATAAGCTACTATTCCATATGAACACAGATATATACGTACATACATAAAAGCTGTAGCGCTTGTGTTTTGTTTAGAACTTGTACCTATCATGTTTACCGCTTTTTATAGGCGTTACGAAAGTTTACTTTTGTTTGAGTTGAGTTCATCACTTAATTCTATTGTCAACAAACGTGTGCGCTTAGTCGGGCTTGCGGCAACGACGAGACTGCTACTGGCGCACTTGTGCATACATATACATCCTAATGATATATACATATGTCCATGTACTTCATATTTATTTACGTTAGATGGGCTACTGAAGGCGGTTTCTTTTAACTACGAATCTAACAATGCACAGTAGTGAGCAATAAAAATGCAACGTACTGTATGTTTTCCACCAATAGTTTTTGGCCGGTTACAGCTGCGGGTCGATGATGTGATGTCTTGAGCTAGAAGATATAGGTGACCCACATGTAGAAACGAGTGTATGTGGTTCGGTTTCGTTTTAAGCAACGGTTTTCACATTTTCTGCTTAGCACGTTACTTTAAAGAAGTAAGTGCTCACCCAGCTTGTTGTAACAGCAAATAAATTCCCAAAATAGTTTTTGGGGAATGATGCTGGGGTGGCAATCCTGGGCCAAATGTAAATCTGTGTCGTTCCGGTTACGTACACCCGACTGGCGTGGGAACGTCACTCATTCCGTCTGCAGAAGCTCTGCAATGGGGTATGGCCGTTCTTCTGGCTGCTTCCGGTTGAAAAACCCATCCATCCGCTCGATCACGAAATCAGGACTATGATTTACAGATAGGTACTTGGAATGTCTGTACGCTCTATAGTGAAGGTGCCTCTAGCCTCCCAAAATACACGACCGACATCACCGCAGTACAGGACTACGACTTCTCGTTTTAAGGTTTACTCCGATCATTGAACAAACTGTCATGATCCGTATCAAAGCTAAATTCAACAATTAAAGCCTCATTTGTGCGGACACCCCGACCGAGGAGAATGACGATGAAGAGGGTGGAGAGACGTCTGCTTAAAAGGAAAATGTGCTGTTAGACAGGAATGTGGCTCGTAAATTTTATCGACGATACTTTGTGAAAGAGTGCAGCCCTTCACAAACCGACTAATTGAACCTTATCCGTAAGGCAGCAGGTTTTTGACCAGATTTTCACAGCAAGTGGAATCCTGGATAGGCCACTAGATATGCGAATTGGCACACACCATCTTTTTGTCGATTTTAAAACCACTTCTGATAGCACGAAGAGCAGCTGTCTGTACGATATCATGTCTAGATTTGGGATCTCCGCAAAACTAATACTGCTATGTACAGTGATGGGGAGCACAATCTTCTGCTATACCAATTTGAGAAGGACCCCTTAGCGCCGGTTTATATCAAACGAGGTTTTAGACAAGGCGATCTGATGCTAGAAACCGTCAAAAGAGAAACTAATCTGGATGATATTGACATCGTTGGCCTGACACCCACTTATATGAGACTAGCATTTCCCAGTTTAGAAGCGAAAGAGGTTAGTGTAGCGGTGAATGAGGACAAAACAAAGTACATACCTCCTGGTAATACGTAAAAACTCCTCGCGGTTTGTGACACACGTCACTGTTGGCAGTTATAGCTTTGTGGTGGAGGACGTTGTCAACATGGGATAGATGCGAGGGTAACTAGCAAACAAGTGCTACCATGAGCTTGGACATTTAGTACGTTGAATGACGAGGCTCCGGTGAAAAGATCCTTCGACTCGGTACCCCTGTTTGAACAGCGGGTGAAATAGTGCCCATGAATACAATGGAAGGACCAAGATA